TCCTTGGGCAAGACACATAACCTACCTTGCCTGCTGGTGGTGTTCGGAGGGACCAGTGGTGCCTGTATATGGCAGGCTCACCTCTGCCAGATTATACAGTAGGGTATATTTGACATTTCCACTGTTTTACATGATACTTTAAATGGTATTTTCCCTCCAGGCGATGAATCGAGCTTGTCAAATCAAGCTGAGAGCATGTCAGCAAGAATTGCATGGGAATAAATAATGTTGGGACATAATGAGAGGCTTGTGGGACAGCCTTCGGGTTCCAGTTTTATCCAGAAGAGATGTAGATTCAACAAACCTCAGAATAGACGTATTTGTGTTGACATGAACACATGATTTCTAAATCCTCACCCTCCACCCAACCCTGAACCCACCTCCCTCCCCAACAGCCAATCAGAGCCCTGCATAGTTGGTGCTGTTTGTGAATGTCACAATACCACGACCAAACAGCACATCCCACTGGGACACAATGGCAGGGACAGTGTCTTTCACAATATCCACACAAAAGTGTTGACGCCATAAAGAAATGGACAAAATTCCTTCATTGCTACAAAGGACTTCTCTCTGCTGTCAACAAGTCAGCATTGTGTTCCAGCGCTTTAATACCACTAATCAGATTATCATCTCTCCATGAGTGGGAGGACAAAGATTATATGTCATTTTTTCTTTGCTGTCTAGAATGTGTGTAAAGAAACCCTACAGAGAGCTAAACTGAGCTAAAAACAAACCGAAATGGTCAAAAATGATTTAAACAGCTGCGGCTGGCAGGCCATGAAGATATTTCAATGCATGAAAAGAAGCCTCGATAACAGATTTAGCTTTAATTGTTTAGTTATCTGATTCTTGTGCAATGCAGAAGCTTGTTTTCATTGTGTTAGTGGTGATGAAGCCAGGAAGAGTTGCACAAGTGAATCTCATGTCATAAGAAAAAATCACCCAGATGGAGATAGAGGGCAAAGCCCAAATAATAACTGATGATGTGAGATTACTGTTAGAAATGTATGTTAAATACCTAAAGATGAAAAACATGGTGTTAATAAAACAAGGGTGTCATTTGAGTCCTCATATAAAGTGTTCTACCAAATTTACTCACTTCAATTGTACGTTGTTATGAAGTTTTCTAAATTAGACTAAATCAAAGACCTAGCATTCCCAGACAGAAGAAATTACCTAACTTATTGCCAATTTTGTGTTTCCTTACAATGATTAGCTGTGTCAGCCATCTTGATGCACATCCATTTATTTATACATTGTTGTTGTGGAGACTCTAGTATAGCCTGGCCAGCCATGCCAATGCTTCCTTATGGGAAGCAAAGGGCCTGGTAACGCTGCATAACCCCACCCCCTGAGAATTCTAACCGAGCCGATCAGCGCTGAGCAGAGTACGTCACACACGCTCAGTTTCTCATAAACACCCAAGATGGTGTCTGAAGCGGAATTCATTGCATCTCTTTCCTCTTTTCAAAATGACTTGGACATGTCTTCAAAACCACAACAAGAAGAAGAGCTAAAAGCCTTTCTTCTAAAGAATAATGTTTGTGCTGTCACCAAACGCCATCTTTGACTATAGTAAAAGTACAGCGATGTAGTATGTATGTGTGTATGTGCAATTGGTTATTTTTGAGCTGGCTAGTCCTCTGCCTCTGAGTGTCCAGACTCGTCCTCGGTGTAATGGACAGAGGGAGTGTCTAGCAGGCCAGGCGAACTCTAGTAGGCTCAGAGAGAAGACACTTGGCAGTTTTGCTTGCTTTTAGCACCCCCTAGTGTCCGTTATTATCTGTGGTCGAAGAAAAAATTAAACTAATCTCCTCGCTATGCGTTCGTCTTTTAACACTTTAATCTAACTGCTGAAATGTCTCCTCAGCCTTCATTAGTGTCTATAGGAGCGATTCAAATTAGCTGTGTTCATGCAAGAAACCTGCTGGAAGCAGACTGCCAGGTATGTCAGATTCATTTTTTTCTAAGTCCTTCAGTCCAGACTGGCACTCTGAATAATCTGTGGTATTCTGGCCACAGAAGGCAGTTCATTAGCTCTGTAAAGGGTAATTTTAGCACATACTGGCTCAAGAAAAGCATTCAAAAATACAAACAAGGTGCATAGTATCCCTTTAATGTTCCTGAACACATTTTTCTTCTTGGTTAAGGAGCTTGGTCAAATTAAGCTAAAAGTGTGAAGAACCAGTCTTTTATACTGTTACAATGCCCATTCGTGTCCCAAGCCTGCTCCGCTAATATTTAAGTGAGCAAAACCGCACAACATCATATTCCATTGCTTGGTTCTTAATTAAGTAAACGAAGCATAGCAAAGATTTGTTTTCAGCTTTTAAGCGGACAAATTTCAGCCAGCTAAAACGCTGTGTTTAGATAAGAACAAGCAATTGGATTTGACAGATTACACAGAACGAACGTACAAAAGATGCACAACGTCATCCTCTAGCAGGACACTCTTATGCCACAACCGTACGCGCCAAAAAACATTCATCACTGAAAGTCGACAGCTACCCAGAACACGAAAAAGAAAAGAGCACCAGTGTTAGCAATTCTTTTATTAGACTCCTAACCAAACTCCAAAAGGAGTTCCTGCGTGTAGCTTCTACTGTTATTAATGTTGCTTACGCCACTCGCTTTGTACACTCATCATAAGTTTTTCACGTCACTCCCTGGGTCTATAGGGAGCCTATAGACCCAGGGAGTGCAGGTGGGAGTCGTAGGTTTTCTGACTCTGCTTGAAGACTGACAGAAGCCAAATCATGAGTGCTCAATAAGCTGTTGAGCACTTTCATGTTCACCGATTTTTTTTTTATCACGATTCTGTTTCCGATGAAGGATTTGTCAAGGACAGCCGAAAAACGGTGTGGCTTGGGTTCACACACATGCTGGATAGTGGTCATCAAGGACCAGGGTTGAACCCTACTGAGGTGTAAAAACCTCTTTCCCTTACAGGAGTTTTGTTAGCCTGGACTTACGTCAATCACATTTGGGATCATGGAGGCATCTGATCAGTCTCAAACATGGTTTATAAAACAGCTTTCCTCCTGCTGACGCATCCACCTAACCCTAACCCTAAAGCTTGGTTTACGCTTGACACATTTACGTTCCGCTTGGTGATGCGGCTCGCGGATGGAACGCGCTTCACAACTTGCAGCGTTTATGGTTCATGCGCCTTGTCTCTGCGGTGAGCCAATATTCTCCCAAACTGTAGGGGGCAGCATGGAGCTCTACGGCATGCATCCAACACTACACCATAGTAGAAGTAAAAATTACTGTTGTTTACAACATGGCATTCCAGCATTTTTTAACAGCGTCCTCGTCTTTTCCGACAGTGCGAGCTATTTCTCTCCAAGAATTATTAACAACATGTTGATCACGGTGATCTCTGAGAGCTGAATCATACAAATGTCTGTATTTACGAACCTCTGCCATACTAGTTCTTGCCAGTCCGCCATGTTTTTCTGCGTCCGACCGTCTGCGTGGTTAGAAAATTTCCTAGGTGCGCGGTGCGGAAATTGAGCCGTGCGTAGGCGCGGTGGAGGGGCGTGATTGTTAAAATGACGCAATTCCGCCACGCGAACCTCGCGGACGCGTCAAGCATAAACCAACCTTTACCCTAAGCCATAATCACTCAAGGATGAGTCACAGTAAGGTAGTTCCTCGGTTCTGTTCTGGAAGCAACACTTCCTGATTCTCAGCAGAAAAACAGCATAGAGGATTATTGCATCTCCAACCTCTTGACTCATTGCACCACTGCTGTTTCATTAGAGCAGGAGGTTATATCAGGCCTACCGAGCTGAGACGGTCATTTCCTGTGATGGCTCGTCTTTTAGCTTTTAGCTGCGACAGTGCCACGGGCCGTCTACCAGATTACAGACCCTTCTATTCTCTTCACTCTGTTCCTTTGCAGTTCTTGGTGCCACCTCCTCTATCGCTCCAAATCCCTCGTTCACGATCCCTTTCCTTCTCCCTCCATGACGGCCACCTGCTAATACTTTTTTCCCTTCTTTACAAAGGCTGCTGCTCATTCCCTCGCCTCTCTTCACTGTTCTGCAGCCCAGTGGCATTTGATATCTCCCATCTGTCCACATGTGATAAAAACCTAAATTTGATCTGACAGTTTTTCACTGTCCTCACTTTTTTCTTCACCCAAGAATGAAGCCATATGAGCTTTTTTCAGTAGTAGAACAATGTTATGTTTCCACAATGCAGAAATTAGTCAGATTTGTCACAGTAAGAGACTAGAAAATACCATCTAACAGTGTTTATTTTTGCAAACACAATACATGTCTCAGTCTAGAGACACAGAAGTGTAGTGTGTAAAAACAGGAAAACGTTAAACTTGTCATTTTAGAAAATGTTTTATTTAATTTCCTCTAATATTTAAAAAAACTAAACTATATTAAATATAGTTTAAAGGGACAATTAACAACTTTTTCATATTTTTAAATCATTTTCTTGAGCCAGTATGTGCTAAAATTACCCTTCACAGAGTTAATGAGAGGCCTCCCATCCCCCATCGCCCCCTGTGGCCAGGATATTGCAACATCATAGTTGCCAGTCCGGTCCGGTCTGTTGGGACTTAGAAAAATTGAGCCGCTGTCTGGCTCCAGCATGTTTCCTGCATGTTTTAGATCACGAACACAGCTGATTTGTTTAATGTAGTGATGAATCGCTCATCTAGACACTTAGGAATGCTTGGAGACGTTTCAGCTGTTAGATTAAAGTATTAAGAAGACGAAAGCACAGTGAGGCAATAGTTTTGCTTCTACAAACGGACACTAGGGTGTGCTAAAAGCAAGCAAATTGCTTAGTATCCCTTTAATACTAAACAAGTACCATGCTTTAATATAATTTTTAATAATTTTTAATAATGGTTTATATTTTACTTTGGAAAAAACACATAAATGTACATTTTTCTTTATACTGACAATAATTGTGTCCTAAATTGTAATACTAGCATGATGCTAAGCGCTACATCTCTGTTTCTCTGCCCCCTGCAGGTCAGTCAAGGTAATGTTCCAGGTGTGGAGAGTGCGTCTCTGGCCATGGACACTGAGGAAGGGGTGGAGGTGGTGTGGAATGAAGTGCTCTTCTCCGACAAGAAGGTCTTCAAAGCACAGGAGGTACTGGAACACCTGTAGCTTAGCGTAGCCCTAGGTGTCTTTAGCATTAGCTGTCTGGTTGTCAAAACATGTAGAAAATAGTTTTATTTAAAGCTGTTAAATGTGCTTAATCAAGACACATTATGAATAATTCTGCCCTAAATTTTCAATAAAGGGTGGACAATAAGGGCTTTCTATATAAATTAGAGGATTTTTAATATTAGTTTTGGTTAACGTGAAACTTATGATGAAATAGAAAAACTTCCACTTATCAGATCTCTTATTCCTAATGTAAGTTAGCACTTTAATTATATTAATCTTCTTTATATCTGCTTAGCTGATGCTCTCCAATAAAGACTAGAGGAAATCTTATTCTTGAGTTTCAGGCTTACACATTTTTTTAAATGACAAATCAAGAGTTGCCCCCTGGTGGCCGTGAGAGATAATGCACTTCTACTCTAGCTTTACTTTTCAGAGTTGGAGGATACGTTCTTTTTTATGACTTTTAATTCTAAGATGACAAGAAAGCTAATTTGACATTTCCACAAAATATTGTAATGTATTTGTAATTTTGCATTTCATTAACATGAAATACATTTTTAAGTTTCAAAATAGGTAACACTTTACAATGAGGGTCTCTTTATTAACATTACTTAGTGTGTTATTAAGCATTAATAAACAAAGGGTCCCTTTATTAATGTTACTGTCATTGTTAACTTTCAATAGAAATTGAGGTTAAGACAAAGCTGTATTACATGTTATGGTTAAGTAGTTCTTAATACTTTATTAAATAGTTTATTAATGCATAGTATTGCACTAACATTAAGAAAAGGACCCTTATTGTAAAGTATTACCTCATAGTACTTTTTTTCTTGCAAAAAGTAATTAGAAATAATTATATTTAACCATAAATTATCCTGATTGTTTTATAAATAAATGCTTTGCAGACCTTTTATTCTGTAACGTTTGTTGGGAATTTGTACCACTTTTACCTGTTTTGTAGGAGAAGATCAAGGAGATGTTTGAGAACTTGATGCAGGTCGAACACCCCAACATCGTCAAGTTCCACAAGTACTGGTTAGACATGAAAGAGACCCAGGCTCGGGTAGGAATGCTTGTTTTTCCTGTTCTTTTATTTCATACTCAGAATTCTGAGGTAACGGCTTGTTTTGACCCATGTGTGGCACACAGGTCATCTTCATCACTGAATACATGTCGTCAGGCAGCCTGAAGCAGTTCCTGAAGAAGACTAAGAAGAACCACAAGACCATGAATGTGAAGGTGAGTATTTTAGAGTTTGCTCAGTGGAAGCTCCATATTTCCTGCAGGATTAGAGATTACGTAACACGCTGGTGGCTCAGTCTGCGCAGACATATGTCTTTTTATGTAACGTGAAAATGAAACTCATTCATTATTTCTTCTTCGTTGAGTTCCGTCATTTCATTGTATCATAAAGTTCTTGTTACTTTTTTATTTCAGGCCTGGAAAAGATGGTGCACCCAGATTCTGTCGGCGCTCAGGTACGGACAGATTCCCTCAGAGGAGATCTGGCAATGAAAGGAATCTTAAAATAGGATGTTTTGTTGTTTACCGGCAGTTATCTGCACTCCTGTGACCCGCCAATAATCCATGGCAACCTGACCTGTGACACGATCTTCATCCAGCACAATGGCCTCATCAAGATTGGCTCAGGTCTGCCCCCATCAGGGCTTTCTCTAATACTACAGCTAGTTCAGTTCTGTAATTACTCTCATGGTTACAGGTTCAAAATCACAAGTAACATCTCGGTTTTGTATTTTCTTTCTCCAGTGTGGCACCGGCTGTTTGTTAATGGTGAGATGGATTTATAATTTTATTTGGCACATTTGTTTTTTCTCTATCAATGTGTTGAATGCTCTTTGTGCTTTCTCTAATCAGTGTTCCCAGACGCAAGCGTCCACAATAAAGGACGGCAACACCGGGACGAGCAGAGGAACCTTCACTTTTTTGCTCCAGAATATGGAGGTGAGGGGCTTTCTTCTGCAGGCTGCGCAGTGGCGCAGTGGTGCAGTGGTTAGAGCTGTTGCCTTGCAGCGAGAAGGTCCTGGGTTCTCTTCCCGGCCTGGGATCTTTCTGCATGGAGTCTGCATGTTCTCCATGTGCATGCGTGGGTTCTCTCCGGGTACTCCGGCTTCCTCCCACAGTCCAAAAACTTGACTGTTAGGTTAATTGGTCTGTCTAAATTGTCCTTAGGTGTGTGTGTGTGTGTGTGTGTGTGTGTGTGTGTGTGTGTGTGTGTGTGTGCAAGATTGTTTGTCCTGTGTGTCTCTGTGTTGCCCTGCGATGGACTGGCTCTCTGTCCAGGGTGTACCCTGCCTGATCGCCCGTTGACCGCTGGAGATGGGCACCAGCCCCCCCGCGACCCTACATGGACAAAGCGGGTTCTGAAAATGAATAAGCGGGTTCAGAAAAGAGGGAGGGAGGGATGGAGGGAGGGAGGGATGGAGGGATGGATCCAAGATTTTATACTTAAATTGCTAAAATCAAAGTGTAAAATAGAGTAAAATAAAGGTTGTATTATGATGCCATACGGTAAAGGCTAAGTGTCAAGAAACAATATTTTAATCATGGTCCAGTTGCTAGAATTAGACTGTACCATTAATAAATAGCCTAGGGGAAAATAAAGAGTCCATTTTTATTTCATATAAACGGGGAACGGGTTAGGCTTTGCCAAGTTGCCATCAGTAGGTTGTTTACAAAGATTGTGCTTCAGCTTCTGCCAATTTTCTCTCTAATTGTTGTTTTTCTGCAAACACATTCCCTGATGCTCCTTTATATTCAGGTTAATAAGATTATATTTAAGTTGCACTAAGAAAAACACCAGTTGTCACTTATAATGCGGCAGGACTCGCTGCCAAGAGCAGCTCAGGCAACCTATGATATGATGCATGTAAATATTACATAATGGGACAGGACAGAAAAAGCCAGTTGGTCATTACAGGGTCTTAAAATAAAGTAAATGCAACCATGGAAATGCAGCGATATGTGATATTTTTTTAACACATTCTAAACCAGACAGAAAATCGTGGAAAAACAAATGACACCCTCACTGCATCAATAAGAATGCTTGTTAAAAAAAAAACACCAAGAAAACCGCTGTAAAAATCTTTGTTTTTGCATATTTTAATTCATTTGGGACAATAAAGGTTATATAATAATACAGTGCACGTTTTATAATAAGGTAATATTTATAAGTGTGAGCATCTTGTTAAAGGCATGAGTTTGCTTTTCTGGAGCATACGTGTGTGTGTTTACGCAATAATGCTCAGTCAAGACATCAGCGGTGATCTCTGAAATCTACGGAAGTTTAACCTTTTGATGCATGAATTATGAAATCCTCAACCATGATTTTTTAAACTATTTTTTTCATTCATCTTTAGGTGTGAATGAAACAAATTTCAACAAATATTTTGTATAACATATAATAATTTACAAATAATTTATTACATGTCCACCTCAGGAGACAGCGTGCATTCTGAACATGAAATATGTTGGCTTGACTTACTGAAGTCCAAATGGAGGGGCTCACGTGCAATAAAGTCTTCACCAGCTGTGCTTAATAGACAAAATAAATAAATAACAATTTTGAGTACCTGTCCTCTGTAGTGACCATTATGCATCAAAGGGTTAAATGCACTTTTCAAGCCTGTTTGGTCCATCCCAGTAAGTTCAGAGACTCAGCAGTTCAGACGCTTCAAGACCAAGTTGGCAGGTTAAAGGTTAAAGGTTACGACAGGAGAATTAGGAAAAGACTGAATAATGCAAACCCCAGGGTTTCAGATTAATTATTTGCTTGTAAAATAAAATCACCTCAAATGGTTAGACAGACCAGATGGACATCATTAATTGTCTAACTAGATTAAAAGACTTAGGTATGAACCACAAACAAAATCCTAAATATGGCCGCTTAAGTTCGTAAAGCTGCATTGTCTGACACAGAGCTTCCCAATGTAAGGGCCAGGGTCCCACTTTGGGTCATGAAACACCAAGTTTGGGGCCCAAAGTTTTTGGTAAATAAATAATCAAATATTTAATGAGACAGAATCCATCAACATCTCATAACTATAATTACACTTCTGGTTCAAAGGATTTTTTTTTTAATGATGTGATTCTGGTTTCCTCCCCAGCTGGTGAAGATGACTACTCTATAGACATCTTCTCTTTTGGCATCTGCGCTCTAGAGGTGAGAGAAGACGATTCGCCTGAGATGTCCATCTGTCTGAGTGTGAATTTGTGTGTTAAAGATTTTTTTTTTTACCCACAGATGGCGGTGCTGGAAATCCAGGCCAATGGAGACATCGCAGTGTCCAAAGAGGCCATTGTCAATGCGGGCCAATCTCTGGAAGACCCTCTCATGAGGGTGAGATTGAAGTTACAGGAAGCAGAGACAAAAAGACAAACTGTCCCACTGACATATGCTGTATTTGCTCTCTACAGGAGTTCACACAGTCCTGTTTACGCCACGACCCCAAGCACCGTCCTACAGCGCACGACCTCCTGTTCCACAGAGTCTTATTCGAGGTCCACTCCCTCAAACTGCTCGCCGCCCACTGCCTCATCAACAACCAGTGTGAGTTCCCACCTCCGAACGCCGGCCGAGCTGCCAACATCTCCACACGACATCTCCGTCTGCTCGCCACAGCAGAGCGAATACATTCTAGACCTTAAACTTAAGTGGATTTTATTTTCCCCAGCTTTTTCGGATAATTTGCTGATTTCTTTTGTGCTGAATGTGTGTTTGATCTCCAGACTTGCTTCCAGAGAACTGCGTGGAAGAGAAAACCAAGTCTTTCGACCCCAACGCCGTCATGGCAGAGATCAAACACGACAACAGGCCAGGAGTTCAGCTCAAGTAAAAATCTAATCACATCTTTGTGAGTTTAGCTGTTTGTGCCCATCAGATGAGGCTCAACACTCCCTGTTTTCTCCTCGTTGTCCCGCTGTCTTCCAGGTATTCCCATGTTTCTCCTTTGGAACTTGACAAATTTCTGGAGGATGTCAAGTAAGTTTCAGCTGCAGTCCTGTGGTCCATTTCATATCGGTAGTTTCCCAGCGTGACGTCCCTTCTCCTCAGAAACGGGATTTACCCGCTGATGAACTTCGCCTCGTCCCGGCCTCATCCCGTCCCTCGAGCTCTGTCCTTGTCTCAGGAGCAGGTTGAGACTGTGAAGACACCGACTCCTGAACCTCAGGAGACAGAGACAAGAAAGGTTAGACTCTCAGTCTTCAAAGAACAACAAATGACACTGCTCATTATTGCAGGAAGGATAAAGACTCACCCCAGCTTTCCACCAGAGCCGTCAGCAGCACGTTACTGCAGCAGCACGTCATAGCTGCTGATGGGAACCGCTGTGGTCAACAGAACCTTTTCCACCGGAGCCGTCAGCAGCGCGAGTCGGCCGCGTCTCAGGAGCAGCATGTCGCGGCCGTTACGCGCCGGTTCTATTTTCTACGCGCGACGCCTCTGAAACGGGTCAAGTTCGACATTTTTGGGGAAGGAAAGACAGGAAATCGGACGCGGAAATGGAGCGAAGCTCCCGAGATTTTCAGAATAAAGAAACGTACTGCCTTCCGGTTGCTTTACTTTAAAAAAGTTACTAACTGTGCGGCCCCGTGAGAAGTTATCACCTAGCTAGCGGTCTCCTTTGTTTTTCAGGCCTGTATTGGCGATTATAAAACGGACAGAACATAAAACACAAACCATGTTGTAATTTTCTCCTGCTTGTTGTTGTGTTTACTGACGAAGTCACTCGTGTGACTTCGTGCTCGGTCGGTGACAGCTGCTCCCCTGCTGCTTCACGTCTCGTGGGAAGGGCCAAGCAGCAGCATACGCGAGCAAGACGTGCTGCTGCAGTAACGTGCTGCTGACGGCTCCGGTGGAAAGTAGGGGTCAGCCTAAATTTTAAACTTTACTTGTTTGCATTTGCAAAATCAGCAGTGCTCATTGGTACTTTGGTGCAGCATTTCTGCTGCAAGCATGCATCTGTTGACTGTTCTCATCGGTGTGTTGCAGGTCGTTCAGATGCACTGTAGTTTGGAGTCGAATGAAGATGGAACCAAAACTCATGTGAGTCACATTGTCCTCCAGGTACTGTCTCCCAGTTTTGGCCCAAAGCTGTTCATCTGGTCTCCTCTGTGACAAATGATGTTGAGCTACAGCGACCCTCTGAGGTTTAGTTCTGATGGATGAATAGAAATCACTTTACTTGACCGTTGGTCTTATTTTCCTCCCAGCTCTCATTGTTCCTGAAGATGGATGACAAACTTCACAAGCAGCTTAGCTGTGACATCCTTCCAAGTAGGTTCAGCCTGTGAACGTGAAAGCTAAATTTGATTAGTGCCTTCATGAAGCCGCAAGTTTACAAAAAGTACATTTCTTAGTAAGTTTTTTCAGCTGTGTGTTTGATGCTCCCACATAAAAGCAAGTAAAATAATCAATATAAAAAAAACACAAATTTGCAGTATTGTTTAGTTATGTTTTTGCATTTTTAGACAGAGTTTAAGCTTTGCTTTCTCACTAATCCGTTTAGTTAGCATCTAAATACAAAAAAAACATTTTATTATTTTGGTAAATTAGATCAGAATTAGCCAAAATTTAGCAGGATTAGCTTCATAATCAACTAATCTGAAACGTAAGGTATACTTTTTGTGATTTTTTTTTGTGAGGACACCATTGTCAAACGGCAGTAAGAAAATCAGACCATTAATCAATGTAATCTGTAAGAGGGACATGTGGAACGTTGAGTTAATTTGATTTTCTAAGTAAGAATTAAACAAGAATCAGAAATCGGTATCGGCCCTCCAAACCCAGAATCGGTGCATCAGAACAATCTTTTTTATTTAAAAGCTCTCCATTGTATTTTATTTATTTATTGTTTATTATTTATTAGTTTTTATTTTGTTTTTAAAGGGACTGAAATTTGCTCAAACAAATTATTAATCTGTCAAAATGGAAAAAGCAATTGGTTATATGACATGGAGTTCTGTGGCAATTTTTAAACAATAATATCTTGTTGGGTAAAGATAAAATAGCTCTTCATCTGTTAATAAAAAGATCAGTTCTGACCAGATTGATGACCCAACGGCTAGTCCAAACATTAAAGTAGACCGCTTTTGTCTTCAAAACTAACTTCAGTCCAAACAAATTTTTGAGAATCTGTGTTACTTTCATTCTGTGTTTTTTATTCAATTGGGTTTTTTATGGTTCTTCATCACACACAGAGCAAATAGAGCTTGTTTTTGCCTTCACTGACATGATTTGGCGTCCACCGCCGCCTTCGTCAGAGCAACCGCCGATATTTGTGGCGTCACTTCTGTTTATCTGCGGGCAGCAGAGGATGAAGTAGTGTACACGCTGGACCACACGTGGGACATGGTGATCGACAGAGAAGACGACCGCAGATAAACAAAAGTGACGCCACCATCATCAGCGGTTGCTCTGATGAAGGCAGCAGTGGATGCCAAAACATGTCAGCAAAGGTGAAAACAAGCTCTATGACGAACCACAACAAATATTTTTGAGGTGTTCACATGAAAGCTGTTTTTAGTACTTTAATGCCACATGTTTATTCCAGCAGATGTGTAAGGAAAGTTCAGTCATGCAAAGATTTATTTAATAGCCTGTGTGCTGTGACTAGCTGTTAGCCCTTCAATCTGGTTAGAATTAAACTTTCTTTCTGATTCAGAAATGTAAAAAGATCAAATGTCAGTTAATTTTATTTTGCACTAAAAACATTTTATGGGGAACTTTCAGCGGACACACCAAAAGACCTTGCTGGTGAACTTGTTCATTACGCCTTCATAAATGAGGTAAAATCTTAATTTGTCTTTTATTTTGACCTAAGCACCAAACACAGCATGTTTCTATTTAATTGACCTTCAAAGCTGAATTTGATTATTTTTTTCTTATAGGATGACAGTGAGAGGGTGGCGGGGTTCCTGGAGGACGCCATTAACCGACATCGGGTCCAAGCACTCGCCTCTGAGAGCACACAGTGAAGACGGGTCACGATGGCAGCTGGCCCAGACTGAAGGGCCTCGGGCTGAGGACCACAAAGGTGGAGAAAGAGGGGGGGAGGGGGGCAGCAAGTAGGGTCACAAAGCTGCTAGATCAGGAGCAGAAGACCCAGCTGGGGAGACAAAACAGGACAGATGCTGAGCTTTGAGCCTCGGTAAAATTTCCCAGTTTGATGGAGAAACTGAAGGTGCCTCTGATTGGAGGATTGGAAGCTTCACGGCGGACCCCAGCAACCCCACGGAGTGGTGTAAGATCCACAAGGTCCCCGTCTTAAAGGGCTAGCACGCCTTAAGATATCCTGAAACGTCTCTGCTTTGCCACTATTGAGAACAGATTTGTTTTACCTACAGCAGCTAACGTTTCAGATGGACGTTCTATTAATTCATGCCTCATTTGCACTCCCAACGCCCGTTTTTAATGATTCACACTGAATTGTACTCTAAATGATTTCTCTCTGTCTCCTTTAAAAGCCTTCAATTCCGTCACCGTTTTAGGAATTCAATATTTCATCCATCATGCACTGTTAATACTCATTCAGCCGACTTATTTATTTCTGTTTGTAACTGTGAACAATAGAAGCATTGCACACGTCTCTTTGCTACTTCCTTTATCTCTCTGATGTGCAGAATAACCCCTCTCTTCTGGTACATGCACCCCTGGGTTAAAGGCTACTTCTCACACACTAAATGCACGTAAACGAGCTCAGAGGCGACGCCGCTCTTACAGCCGGTAGTGCTCTTAAGGGTTTTCCCTGTGAAAGTGTTCTGAAAGCCAAAGACCTGCAAAGTGCCTAATATGGCAATGTGCTTAGAAGAAAATCTACTCATGAAACTACTTTGTACCCAACGTTACAATTTGGAGATTAAAGTCATCTTTCAGATTTGCTCCCATTTCTCAATCTGGAATCCATAAGATCAGCCTGACCTGAAACCGATCCTGATTAAAGAGCTTAAAGAGAAGTTATTGATGCAGTTTGTCAATAAAATTAGGATTGAGGCACAAAAAATGACATGAAGAGCGTTGGGTACATCAACATAGTAAAAAATTGCCATATTTTTGTTAAATATCACTGATATTTTAGTAAAGTTGACTTGTAAATATATATATAGGAATATCGGAAAGGCAAAATCAACCCAAATATTTTGGAATTTTATTGTATTTTTACAATTTTTTGCTTCATCTGCACTATATGATTGTGTTTCTTTTTTTTCTTATCAGAATAAAGTAGCTATTTTCTTTAGGACATTGAAAATCTGGGTTTTGAGCATTCACAGCTCTTAACCTCACAGCTACTGTGCTTTTATTCCTGACAATATTCATGTGAAATACAAAACTAGTTGCATTGCAGGCAGAAAATTAAAAGTATTGTAAATTTCTGCCTGATTTTCAAACATCTGGGTGGATTTTGCCTCGACACAAAAGAAAAAAGATAAAAATGCACAAAAATTTTAATTTTTGGATCAATCTTTAGTAACTGTTATGTTTTTCTCAGACTAAATTAGCTCTACTGTGTTTGCCTACTGGATCTAGAAGGTTGCAACTTCAGAATTTAGCTTCTGTACAGTCATTGCTTACAGTTCTCCTTATACTCCTCAAGCCCACTTATCAGTGTGTCTGTAATGACGGGAATCCTCCCAGACAGCAGGACTGTGGTGTTAATAAATACATACATACATACATACATACATTCATACATACATACTTACATGTGTTAAAAACAGGGTTCCTTTGAACTAAACCTGAACACAACTGGTAAAACTGCATGTCTTAATAACCTGAAACCATTCAGAACTTTACATTCTGCCTTTTGTCCGTCACAGTGGAGTTCCAGAGCGAAGCGGACCAACAACATGAATGTTCAAACAGTACAAGAATATAAAACATGTCATGCATATCAGTCTAATTTCTTTTTCTCGTGTATTAGTTAAATGCTCTTTTCTTTTGCCTTTGGATGTGTTAAATCTTTGTTAAATATTGTAGCATCTGCATTTAAAAATATAATAAACATGATGTGACATGTTGATTCATGTCTGAGATTATAGAGTGGTTGATTTACAATAATAGAACTATTGTGAACAGCTTTAATCTGTAGTCAAGCCATGCTGCAGTTTTAAAGTGTTGTTGGTGAACACAGGAATACAGATTATAAATAATTGTTTAAAGATTTACTTTTGTCCAACATCTTTTATGCCAGTTTTAAACTAAGATCGCCTTATGTAGAGAAACTATAGAGTTGCTTTGGACAAGTTGATGTAAACGCTGTTTCAAACAAGCCATCTTGTTCCTCTCTGTCGCATCATCCCGCCCACCAGACGAATAGAGGACCCTGATTTGCCCACAAAGCGGCTAGGGCGCTGTGATTGGTCCACAAAGCAGATAGAGCGCTGTGATTGGCCCAGAGCTGTAGAAAGAGAGTTGCGACACTCCAATAAACGTCTACGGAAAGAATGGAATGCGGAAGTCACGTGGTTCATCGAGCTCCAAACAACTCCAGATGCTGCATTGACCGCAGTTCATTTTCGGTGTTTCGGAAGGATTTTCTCCGGTAAGTTTATGAAATGTCTTTTTTTTTGCATTGTGAAAGGTTAGCTAACCGCTTCGTACCAAATAAGCCAACGATGATATTTTACGTTGCCAATTTTAGCTAGATAACCTTTAATGAGCTAATTGTGTGCAGCTTGTTGATTGTGAGCAGGAGGGTTTAGGTTCAGACGTTTTGCTTCAACTATAAACACAAATTTCTGTAATTATTGAATAGGAAGTTGATTAAAATACAGCTAAACACGACGTACTAGCGGCATGAGCTGCCCTGTAAGACATCTTTTTAGTGACGTATGACAAACAGCTCTTCACTGTTTAGAGGAAGTTAGATTTTTATGATGATTTATGACAAAATTCCTTAAAATGAATAACTGAACCTAGTTTATCTTTATGTAGATGGTAAAGTGTAGTGAAACAGCGTTAGTCTCAGTCGGCATAAGCAGCAGGGCCCTGCAGGGAATCGAACCCCGTCTCATTACTGAGAGTTCCGTTACCAGAGCCTTTTGCTTTGGGCGACCGGAGACGGTAAAGGAAAACCTGCATCAACACAGCATTTAATGTTGGAACATAAATTCTGTCTTGAAGCAGGGAAAAAGAAACCGTCAAAATAAAAAATTATTTCTAATTAAATTCATTTTAGTATTTTATAAACGTTTTACAGATTTAGAGCCTCCTTTGACTTTTACGCTTTTCGTTAACTTCTCGTTCTTTTACGATGTTTATCCGTTCTTTAGTCGCGGTCAAACGCATCGTAATTTTGTTCTGCGGTGAATCTTAAAGTTATGTTGAATGTAAATAATCTGAGTCTTTATTGCTTTAGTTTAACAGCACAGTAACTTGTTAAAATATTCAAGTTAATTTGAATCATTTACATGTTTAGACTATATTTTATTAGCCTTTAATATTTTACTATTTATTGTTTAACTTTTGTAAAGAGTTATTTTTAAACGCGTGCACATTTAAACACTAAAACCTTTGTTTGCTCCGTCTGTGTCAGAGCTCTGCTGTTCAGCTCCTTCCTGGTTCCTGCAGGACCACAAAGCCCAGAGAAGCTCAGTCCAGCAGGACGTGACGACACAAACAGACACGGAGAGCTCCTCCTAAACCTGGAATCAAACTTTTCTACACATTATTTAGAACAGTTTCTTGTGACAGAACAGTTAGTGAAACAGAAAGGACATGATGAAGATGATGTTATCGTCCTTGTCTTTCATACGGATCAAAGATCACCCCAGCTTATGCTCACGTCACCAAGTAAACGTCCCATTTCTCACTAAGACCTGCTCTATCTGCTCTACCAGATTATCAGAAGCATCACTGTAGTTGTAGTTTTGCCTCCATCTTCCTGCCCTCCTTGGTCTCTTGTTTATCTTCTACCACCTCTCACCATCCATCTCAGGTGGGATCTTGTTTGCTCCGATGGCCTCTTGTGTTCCAGGCTTACATCTTTTAGTGAACGTTAGAATATCATGTACTAATATATATGCATGTGTGTGTGTGTGTGTGTGTGTGTGTGATGCTAAGCCAGACTGCCTGCTCCATCAGATGAAAGGAAATCCTCTCAGGACCCAAATAAAATAGAAGATTTAGCAACCAGACACAGAAGCCCAGGTGAAACGTCCACATCAGCATCTCCAGTTCTACCAGCTCTAAAAACACACTTCTTAAATAATAAAACAATAAACTCAGCCAACGGATGAAGACGTCCTGGTGCCAGACGCTACCTAAGACATCACCAGTTCAGCTGACTTGATAAAACACTTGGTGACTAAAACAAACATCTGGTGACCTGGTAAAAAACAGTCCTGGTGCAACAAGCTACCTGAGACAAACGTTTCCAGTCGACCAGTTCAAGAAAGAAAGACAGAAATGATAATCAGTGGTGCTGCACTGGAAGAAAAAGATATCTCTAGTCCGAGTCGGAGTCGTCCGAATCGTCCCATCTTGGTCTCTTCGGTGGGATGTACGGGAAGCGCTCTCCAGTCCTCTTCTGGCTGGATCCAAGGACCGAGGTAGAAGGAGTGGGTTCTTCTACATCCTCGACCTCTTCAGCGCTCCCGTGGGCAGGCCTGGGATCTTCTGGAAGCTCTCCCGGCGGGGCCGGAGGAGCTACAGCCAGCCAGAAGTCTGGTGGTGGAAGCTGCTGGACTTCATCTCTATCCAGAACTGAGCTACCATAACCAGAGTCCTCACTAGAAGCCATAACAACATCTAAAGCTGACCAAACTGAGCTAATGTCAGTCTCCTCCGACTCCTCATCACTACTCAGACCCTCAAAAGCAAACTCTGCCTCTACTGGAGGAGCCTGACCATGACCCACAAACACCACATCATCATCAGGAATGTGAAGGGCTGGGTACCTACCTTCATCTTCATCGAGAATCCGGATGACCTCAGGGACCCCTGCAGTCACGGGACGCTCCACGATGAAGATGCCTGTGAGGACAAAACAACACACATTAAATCCACTTGTGTCATAAAACAGTTATGAAAAAGCTACAATGACTTGTTTACAATACAAGAGATGTGTGTCTGCATCTGCATGTGTGCACAAGACACACTTTACTAATCTGGTTGTTTTTGGGGTTTAACAGGTTAAAACCGAGTTCTGCTTTTACTGAAAAAGTTTCCATTTTTAATTTATGTGATTGTTTATTATTTATGCTTCATGTTTATAGCTGATGTATTTCTAAAAAGATGTCATGTTTTACAGCTTGTAGACACAACACTGCTCAAATAAAGTTGTTTTAAAATGGGCTCTATAAAAATAAACAGAAGACTCATTAAACTGGTGAAAGTGTTTAAAATATATTCAAACGGACAGAAATGCATTTATAAACCTGAGAACCAACTCAGAGAACACATCAAACTTTCTACTTGGATAAAACAGATGAAGTCCTTAAAGATCAAAGGTCTCTAGTTCACTCAGATTTATGGAAACAACTCATGTTCACCGATGCTAACAGGCCGAAGCTAAAGCTAGCTGTACGTTCTAGCATGTTCTACGTCATGAGTTTCATACCTGGTTCATCCGTTGCTATGGTCACAAAAACAACATGTTTTTGTTTGAATACAAAACATCTGATGTATTCAAACTGGAGATTACAAAAGCACAAAGGCACTAAAATCCTCACTGCTATTACATAATTAGCTAAGTGACGGTTCAAAACAGCTGCAGTAATAGCTTCTGTCCACCAGAGGGCTGAGAGACCCCTCGGGTGCACCTGCTGCAAAGAGACAGGTTAGGAATCTGTTGCACGCATGTGCGTGTATACGTCATAGAATTAGAACGTTGCTCGTCTATAAAAGCTCGTCGAATTTTCGAAAGTCTTTCTTTTCTTTCGAACTTGCAGCTAGAGCAGCACTTGGTCGAGAGAGCCTCTGGAGATTTGTTTCAAAAGTAGACCTTGGACGAGCTTGGAGAGCCTCTGCAGAGCAGAAATCGCTGAAGAAGTTTGTGGCTAGCTGAAGAAGACCCGAGAACCAACCTACCAGAGAGATGTTTGTCTTCCGGGAGGAGCACGGTAAGCTAACATCAGTTAAATTCTCCATCTGACTTATTTCATGTTTCCTAAAGGACAAGCTACTGAAACATTATTATGATGTTAAATTCGTGTATTTGAGAGACCGAATGTGTGTTTAAAATCACATTTGGTGTTTTACTCGTGAACAAGACCCCGAGATACTTGATCTCTTCCACTTGAGGCAGGGCCTCTCCACCGACCTGGAGTTGACAAACGCTCTTTTCCGATCGAGAACCATGGTCAGACTTGGAGGTGCTGATCCTCATCCCAGCCTCCTCACAGTCGGCTGCGAACCTCCCCAGCAAGAGCTGTAGGTCGGAGCCTGATGAAGCTGGGAGGACCACATCGTCCGCATAAAGCAGAGATGAGGGTGCGAGATCGACAGGCGGATTGGGGCAGCGTCTGCAGTGATGCGGCCGCTGAACCGGTCAGTTGTGGGGAAGAAGGAGCTGAGCCGGAGAGCAAGGCTCTCGGTTTACCGGCCAGTCCTCCCCTGTGGTCATGAGCTTTGTGTAAGGACCGAAAGGACACGATCGCGGATACAAGCGTCCGAAATGAGTTTTCTCCGCGGGGTGGCTGGGTCAGCCTTAGGGATAGGGTAGAGCCGCTGCTCCTCCATATCGAGGAGTCAGTTGAGGTGTTTTGGGCATCTTGTTAGAAGGCCTCCTGAACGCCTCCCTGGTGAGGTGTTTTGGGCATGTCCTGCTGGCAGGATGCCCCCTGGACGACCCAGGACACGTTGGAGAAAGTACATATCCGAACTGGCCCAGGAACGCCTTGGGGTCCTGCCGGAGGAGCTGGTGGAGGTGGCCGGAGAGAGGACGGTGTGGAGCTCAGTTGGGATGCTGCCCTCGCGACCCGGACACGGATAGCGGAAGAAGACGAGACGAGATTTGGTGTTTTATGGAGGTGAAACATGTTTTCTGTGGACAAGTGAGGCTCAAATCCCCCTGGAACAGTTTGAACATCAAATGTTTTTACTAGTTTTGTTCTGACATGTCGGTTTCTTTTGTATTATTGATTTAAAAGAGGATGGACAGCAGTGAGGTGAGAGTGAGCGTGAGGAGCGCCTGTTGGTTTTTGTCAGCTGGGCAAGCAAAATAAAAGCTGAATATGTGGTTCTTTTAGCGGGATAGAGACAAAAGGTTTCTCACATTAGCACCGACCTGTGACTCAACCTCATCACACAGCCTCAGCATTTTGAGGGTCCCAGCAGGTCGGTGGGATGACGATATCAGACTAGAGAGAACCGTTAAAAGAAAACCACCTATTTGGTTTCAGCAAACCCATTTAGTTCAATTTTACATCGAAAATTTTAAAACTAATAAAATGACATGTACGATTCTAAAGAAGAATGATTCAAACATAAACATGTTGTTTTCGTGACCATAGCAACGGACGAACCAGGTATGAAACGTCATGACGTAGAACATGTTAGAACGTACAGCTAGCTTTAGCTTCAGCCTGTTAGCATCGGTGAACATAAGTTGTTTCCATAAATCTGAGTGAACTAGAGACCTTTGATCTTTAAGGACTTCATCTGTTTTATCCAAGTAGAAAGTTTGACGTTTTCTCTGAGTTGGTTCTCAGGTTTATAAATGCATTTCTGTCCGTTTGAATATATTTAAAACACTTTTCACCAGTTTAATGAGTCTTCTGTTTATTTTTATAGAGCCCATTTTAAAACAACTTTATTTGAGCAGTGTTGTGTCTACAAGCTGTAAAACATTACATCTTTTTAGAAATACATCAGCTATAAACATGAAACATAAAGAATAAACAATCACATAAATTAAAAATGGAAACTTTCAGTAAAAGCAGAACTCTGTTTTAACCTGTTAAACCCCAAAAACAACCAGATTAGTAAAGTGTGTCTTGTGCACACATGCAGATGCAGACACACATCTCTTGTATTATAAACAAGTCATTGTAGCTTTTTCATAACTGTTTTATGACACAAGTGGATTCAATGTGTGTTGTTTTGTCCTCACAGGCATCTTCATCGTGGAGCGTCCCGTGACTGCAGGGGCCCCTGAGGTCATCCGGATTCTCGATGAAGATGAAGGTAGGTACCCAGCCCTTCACATTCCCGATGATGATGTGGTGTTTGTGGGTCATGGTCAGGCTCCTCCAGTAGAGGCAGAGTTTGCTTTTGAGGGTCTGAGTAGCGATGAGGAGTCGGAGACTGACATTAGCTCAGATTGGTCAGCTTTAGATGTTGTTATGGCTTCTAGTGAGGACTCTGGTTATGGTAGCTCAGTTCTGGATAGCGATGAAGACCAGCAGCTTCCACCACCAGACTTCTGGCTGGCTGTAGCTCCTCCGGCCCCGCCGGGAGAGCTTCCAGAAGATCCCAGGCCTGCCCACGGGAGCGCTGAAGAGGTCCAGGAGGTAGAAGAACCCACTCCTTCTACCTCGGTCCTTGGATCCAGCCAGAAGAGGACTGGAGAGCGCTTCCCGTACATCCCACCGAAGAGACCAAGATGGGACGACTCGGACTCAGACTAGAGATAGCTTTTTTTTTCAGTGCAGTGAAGATAATTTCTTTCTTTCTTTCTTTATTGAACTGGTTGACTGGAAACGTTTGTCTCAGGTAGCTTGTTGCACCAGGACTGTTTTTTACCAGGTCACCAGATGTTTGTTTTAGTCACCAAGTGTTTTATCAAGTCAGCTGAACTGGTGATGTCTTAGGTAGTGTCTGGCACCAGGACGTCTTCATCCGTTGGCTGAGTTTATTGTTTTATTATTTAAGAAGTGTGTTTTTAGAGCTGGTAGAACTGGAGATGCTGATGTGGACGTTTCACCTGGGCTTCTGTGTCTGGTTGCTAAATCTTCTATTTTATTTGGGTCCTGAGAGGATTTCCTTTCATCTGATGGAGCAGGCAGTCTGGCTTAGCATCACACACACACACACACACACACACACACACACATGCATATATATTAGTACATGATATTCTAACGTTCACTAAAAGATGTAAGCCTGGAACACAAGAGGCCATCGGAGCAAACAAGATCCCACCTGAGATGGATGGTGAGAGGTGGTAGAAGATAAACAAGAGACCAAGGAGGGCAGGAAGATGGAGGCAAAACTACAACTACAGTGATGCTTCTGATAATCTGGTAGAGCAGATAGAGCAGGTCTTAGTGAGAAATAGGACGTTTACTTGGTGACGTGAGCATAAGCTGGGGTGATCTTTGATCCGTATGAAAGACAAGGACGATAACATCATCTTCATCATGTCCTTTCTGTTTCACTAACTGTTCTGTCACAAGAAACTGTTCTAAATAATCTGTAGAAGCGTTTGATTCCAGGTTTAGGAGGAGCTCTCCGTGTCTGTTTGTGTCTTCACGTCCTGCTGGACTGAGCTTCTCTGGGCTTTGTGGTCCTGCAGGAACCAGGAAGGAGCTGAACAGCAGAGCTCTGACACAGACGGAGCAAACAAAGGTTTTAGTGTTTAAATGTGCACGCGTTTAAAAATAACTCTTTACAAAAGTTAAACAATAAATACTAAAATATTAAAGGCTAATAAAATATGGTCTAAACATGTAAATGATTCAAATTAACTTGAATATTTTAACAAGTTACTGTGCTGTTAAACTAAAGCAATAAAGACTCAGATTATTTACATTCAACATAACTTTAAGATTCACCGCAGAACAAAATTACGATGCGTTTGACCGCGACTAAAGAACGGATAAACATCGTAAAAGAACGAGAAGTTAACGAAAAGCATAAAAGTCAAAGGAGGCTCTAAACCTGTAAAACGTTTATAAAATACTAAAATGAATTTAATTAGAAATAATTGTTTATTTTGACGGTTTCTTTTTCCCTGCTTCAAGACAGAATTTATGTTCCAACATTAAATGCTGTGTTGATGCAGGTTTTGCTTTACCGTCTCCGGTCGCCCAAAGCAAAAGGCTCTGGTAACGGAACTCTCAGTAATGAGACGGGGTTCGATTCCCTGCAGGGCCCTGCTGCTTATGCCGACTGAGACTAACGCTGTTTCACTACACTTTACCATCTACATAAAGATAAACTAGGTTCAGTTATTCATTTTAAGGAATTTTGTCATAAATCATCATAAAAATCTAACTTCCTCTAAACAGTGAAGAGCTGTTTGTCATACGTCACTAAAAAGATGTCTTACAGGGCAGCTCATGCCGCTAGTACGTCGTGTTTAGCTGTATTTTAATCAACTTCCTATTCAATAATTACAGAAATTTGTGTTTATAGTTGAAGCAAAACGTCTGAACCAAGCCCCCACAATGCCGCTCTAAAAATGGTCCCATCCCGGAAGTAAGAAAAATTGCAGTTCCACCCTCATCCGCTGGGGGCTGGTACCAGAAGCGAGCAAATCCTCATTGACTCCCATGTTAAAAATGCCGATTTCACAGCAGAAATAAACATGTTTACAGCCTGGTACCAGAACATGTTTTTTGTCTAAATTATCTAGTTTATACTCATGACAACTCTGAGGGGGGTGAATTTTTTTCTCACTCTTCTGTTTAAGTGTATTGAAAGCCTAAAATTCTGTATAATTAATGAGCATCCGACACACGTGACCGCCGCCTCAGACCCACGTGACCACAGAGCTAGCTCCGTGGAAAGGCCTCAGTACAGCCTCGGTCTGGCCTGGAAACTGTTTCGGGATTTTGAGTCTCTGTGCTTGTGAATTCTGTTTTGGATATTATTGGTGCAATTGTTGGACAAAATGACTTGCAGTGGTATTAATTGCACTAATAGAGCGTCCAAGGAGTCTCCACTTTTTTTCGGTAAGTTAAAATCTATATTCGTATTTTATGTCACTGCCACCTTTAAACTAGCTGAGTTTACCGAAGTAGCTAGCTAACTATCAGTTTAACATGTAGCATGTACTGTTTAACCATGAAATTTAAATGTAAAATACGGTAAAATAATTAATAGGGCATATTTAGATGGGTAATAGGGTAAAACCCAGTGCATTTAAGATAAAAATGGGTTGAAATATGACGGGGCGCGCCGCTTGGGGGGACACTTCTGTGCTCCATTCTTTCATCCGGTAATCCCCAGCGGTCAGGCCGGGCAGGCTGACCGATGCGGCGCCTCGCTGCTGCGGGCTGACCGCTCGTGGAACTCGGAGACAGATCTGACCGGAGAAATACTGCAGCTCGTTGAGAAGTCTATCGGGCATACAGCGTTTCCCTTATATCCCACCGCCACGCCAACAAGATCCCAAGTTTCTTTGTTTTTGTTGGCGCTGTTTACCGAAGAAGCAGCGGGAACACCAGCAAGTTTCATCAGACTCTTAAAGTTAGTTTTTGCAGGGGACCCCCTGTATTTTACTGCTCCCTCCTGCAGTCTTCCCCTATTAAAATTTAAAATGTGTAACTTCATGTATTGTGATGAATGACTGATATTCATGTTAAACTCAAACGTTAGGTATTTAGGTGGAAAAAACAAAATAATAAACATTATACAGATGTCAAATAAATCAAACTGTAATTAAACTATATATTTTCAAAGTCTCGATTCTGGATAAAATCCAACAACATATGCTTTATAAATAAACACTACACATGGCTTTTACACACACACACACACACACACACACACACACACACACACGTTACATTGTGATTTCTTAGTAAATATTCTATTTGGCGAGAGATAAATTTTATTGTATTTTTCCTAGTGAATCTATAATTAAACGGGTAAACTAGCAGTAGTACATCCAACATCAAAGAAAGTAAAATGTTATTATCAGGAGAGGGAGAATGATTAAGTGGTTAGCAGCAGTGTGCTAGACGATGGCCCCCTCCATGAGGCCACCACAGCTCAGCAGAACATCGTTGTAGCTTCTTCTGGGGAGAAAAACACTTGCAGAAAAAATAAAGTTAACAGCTGAAATAGCAGGAAATAATACAGTTAAAGAGCAGATTGTAGAAGAAAGAAACCCCTGGGTTAAACTGGTCTGTCTACTGCATAATGCTGAACTCTAACATGTGTCCTCAGGGAAGGACCTGATTGGTGTCCAGAACCTGCTGAAGAAGCACCAGGCTCTGCAGGCTGAGATAACAGGTCATGAACCTCGCATCAAGGCTGTCACCCAGAAAGGAGAGACCACAGTGGAGGAAGGTAGAGCAGGTCTGGTCCTGACATGTTTCTGAGGTGTCTGCAGGTTCTGGCTCACTTTGTTTGGGTCCAGGTCACTTCGCTGGTGAGGAAGTGAAGACTAAACTGTGGGAGCTTCATGGACGTTGGGACAAGCGAACATCTCCACACCTTTTTTGTGTTTGTGTGACTTTAGGTTGTTTTACTTGAACTCGCGTCTTTAGCTGAATGAGGATGGAGAGACGGGTCGGACCTGGAGCAGGTCGAGGTCTTGCAGAAGAAGTTTGACGACTTCCAGAAGGTCAGACTTTTCCTCCTCTCCGTCTTCCAGCAGCAGCTGTCAGATCAGCTCAGGTGATAATCAGCAGGTGCTTTTGTCCTGCAGGACCTGAAGGCCAACGAGTCCCGCCTGAGGGACATCAACAAGGTGGCATCTGAACTGGAGTCAGAAGGTCTGATGGCTGAGGAGGCTCCTATGGTTCAGGCTCAGGTGAGCGTCACCTGTCTGCAGCAGCTGGTCCCTCTCACTTCCTGGTTTGTTAACTCTGCTCGTCTCTGTTTGTAGCAACAAGAACATCTGGGTTCTGCTCCTGGAAAGGTGCGTGTTGTCCTCCGCCTCCACCAGAACCAGACGTGGTGTTTTTGTTACCACTCATTTGTTTGTTTACAGGATGAAGCCGACTAACCCCGGCTTTCCACAGGAGTCGTCAGCAGCACGTTACTGCAGCAGCACGTCATAGCTGCTGATAGGAACCGCTGTGGTCAACAGAACCTTTTCCACTGGAGCCGTCAGCAGCGCGAGTCGGCCGCGTCTCAGGAGCAGCATGTCGCAGCCTTTACGCGCCGGTTCTATTTTCTACGCGCGACGCCTCTGAAACGGGTCAAGTTCGACATTTTTGGGGAAGGAAAGACAGGAAATCGGATGCGGAAATTGAGAGAAGCTACCGAGATTTTCAGAATAAAGAACGTACTGCCTTCCGGTTGCTTTACTTTTAAAAAAGGTTACTAACTGCAGCCCCGTTAGAAGTTATCACCTAGCTAGCGGTCTCCTTTGTTTTTCAGGTCCGTATTGGCGATTATAAAACGGACAGAACATAAAACGCAAACCATGTTGTAGTTTTCTCCTGCTTGTTGTTGTGTTTACTGACGAAGTCACTCGTGTGACTTCGTGCTCGGTCGGTGACAGCTGCTCCCCTGCTGCTTCGCGTCTCGTGGGAAGGGCCAAGCAGCAGCTTACGCAAGCAAGACGTGCTGCTGCAGTAACGTGCTGCTGACGGCTCCTGTGGAAACCCGGGGTAAGACGGCGTCACCCTAGAAGGTGAGTTCATTCAGCTGATCAGAGGTCACCTCTGATGGCCGCAATCACGGCCGACCGTGCTGACATCACACAGGAATTCAGGTGACCCGGCAGGCACCAGGTGCTGGTGAAAGTGGGGACATGTCAGCTGGTTGCCATGGCTACAATTATCTTTATGCATCTGTATGACTGCTGACTGGTGTGTGTTTCCTGTGACCTTTGACCTCAGACCGTACGGTTGGGCGTTCAGACGACGGCTAACTTTAATTCCATCAAGGTAAGAGGAAGCTCTTCCCTTCCTGTCTGAGTGATCCGTCTCCAGGTTTCCTTGTCCGGCGTCCAGCCCGCTGGCGTCCACCTTCATCTCACTGGGTTTGGTTTCTCTCCAGGAGCTGAACAACCGCTGGCGCTCGCTGCAACAGCTGGCTGAAGACCGGAGCAACATGCTGGGCAGCGCCCATGAGGTGCAGCGCTTCCACAGGTACCCCGCACTTATGCGCCGCTTACGGGTCAGTAGAGTTTGGACCCACACTCAGACGGAGTTCTGATGTCTTCTCAGAGACGCTGATGAGACCAAAGAGTGGATCGAGGAGAAGAACCAGGCCCTGAACACAGACAACTACGGCCACGACCTGGCCAGCGTTCAGGCTCTGCAGCGTGAACATGAAGGCTTTGAGTGTGACCTGGCAGCTCTGGGTGATAAGGTCCGCTTCCTGATCGGTACCAGGACCCGGGTTGTCTCTGGAGACACGTTCTTCATGGTTCTGGTGACTCCAGCCCAGCCGTTCCTGATCAGCAATCAGCGGGGTGCTTTCCTATTTAAGGTGGATGGAGGACACAATTTGACGCCAGAAGATTGCCTCAGTTTTGGTAGTAACCAGCCACTCGTGTTACCTCTAGTGTTCCTAGGATTAATGTTATTTCGTAGTGTTTTTGCTCTTATATTGGATTTACCATTCTTCAGGATTCCTGTCGACCTCATTGGATACTGACCTCTACTCCAGGATTTGGATATTCAACACACGGACCTTATCACCACCCTCCATAACCCACCTCTCATCTCACCCAGTGCCCCATCCACCAGGACGCCCCGCTTCTCTCCACCTCTGCTCCCTCTCCTGCGCTTCCCCCGGCTCTCTACCTCTCCCTCCTCCAGCCAACACGTACACCCACCACAGTAAGTCTGCTGAACACCTCTGCCTGCCTACAATGGATTTTGAAACCAGAACCTAAGCTCACCTGTGTTCTCCCTCCTCCAGACGCTGAGCTGTTGTTGCAGTTCCAACCACAGACTTATCTGTGCACCTTAAGTTCCTCCTTATAAATAAATCATTTTTTCCATCAGTTTTTGGTCAGTGTTGTATTCTGCATGTCTTGGGTTAAGTACCTTCCTCCAAACATGACACTCCTCTTCAAAGAGCAAATCTGTTCAGCACATTCTGACAGACAGACCACCATTCTTCTGTCGTGATGCTGTACAGGACATTTTTAGAGTTTTTCTTTTTAAAGATAAATAGGATTACATTTAAAGAGCAATACTTTCACATTATCATTTTCCCACACTTCTGTATAATTGTATTTTGTTGTTTTTCAATAAAGAATGACAAATTATTTAAGTTTGGTTTTTGTTGCACACAAATATATATCTAAAAAATATCTACAAAGCTAATGTTTACATAAGTATGATTGGGTTTTGCAATACGGCACTATTTTAGTAAGATTTTTAAACCAAGTAAAGTTAGTAAAGAACACATTTCTATTGTCTGCTAAGAAACTGTTGGGATTTAAAATGGGCCTGTTGTACAAATAACTTGTAAATGATTATTCCTCACTTTTGTCTTAACCAAAGAAATTCCAGTAATTGAGCAAAAACATTTATTTTTAACACTACAGTTTATAAAACAGGGCTCAAAGTGTCGGCACATGTATGTATGTATGTCGATGGTCCACCCCAACCGAACCAGGAGACACAGACGTCAGGGAGGCCAAGGTTGTCTCCGGTCTCTGCAGCTCTCTGGGCACCACGCCTCACTCAGCTGTCTCCAATGATCCAAATGGCTATGGAGAAAAAATAACAGGTTTGTCATAATTGTTTAAAGTACAAAACCATACATGAAGTGGTGAGACAGGTATGTGGAACTTACACTTGCTGCTTTGTGTAGCTGATGTTGGAGACACACAGGCTGCCATGGTGACATTTAAACAGATCTAAGAAAAAAATTAAAATTAAAAACTCCCAGACCTCATGTCATATTTACTAATCAGCTATGGCTGATTTATTGTTTGGATCACAGTGAGTTACACTAATTCTAATATATTTTTATTTCTATTATACATACATACTTTTTAACTTATTTTCACATGACTGTTATCAGGCTCTCTTGTTCTGGTTCTGATGATAATTCCGTGTCTTCCAGTAAGTTATCTTGTGCTTACTTCATCTGTAGAATGTCTCTTTACTTTTGGTAAATTGTACTGAGTCCAGAATAAAGACTAGTTGGCTGTACAAGATACAAACAAGTATCACATTTTGGAAATATATGAAATGTATTTAGGCTGCATATTTAGCTCGAATACTAATAACTGCCATATTTTCCGGACTATAACTCGCACTTTTTTACATATTCTGGCTGGTCCTGCTACTTATACTCCGGAGCGACTTATATAACAAAATATGTAGGCTACACCGCGCTGCTGCGGGCTGACTCCAACCCGCCCAAGAATGAGTTCCCCTGTCCTGCTGGAAGGGTTTCAAACACCGCCAGCATCTGTTAGAGCCTGTGGCGGGGTGCTGAGGGCCGGCTCCAGCCCAGGAATGAGCTCTCCTCGCCGGCCGGGAGGGTTTGAAACACTGCCATCCTCTCCTCTGCTGGCTGTTGTTCATTCTGTTATGGTTACCGGTGCTTGTGTTGCAATGTGAAACGCTTGGTCTCAGATTTTGTAAGAAAGATAATAAAATGTCCCCCCAAAATACGACTTAAATATATTTTCTCTTCTTCATTATACATTTAATGGCTGGTGCGACTCAGGAGCGATAGCCCGGAAGATACGGTACTGAAAACTTGCTCACAGCAAAATGTTTTCATTACGGAAATAAATTATAAACTTACCGATTCAATACTTTTTTAATCCAGGTACTTGTCACTAACAGGCGCCGAAAACCTCCACCTAAACTCCGTGTGAGGTTCAGGTCGATGGGTGTTCCAGTTAGCTCCGGTTGGGTTGAAGCTAGGTGGCTACATCCGTTAGCTCGGCTCCCACCTCCGCGTTAGCTTTGGGTTAGCCAGGGTTAGCTTCAGGTTAGCTCGTAGCTAGTTCGCACGGGTGTCGTCACTCGAGCCCAGCCTTACAGCCCCACCCTCAGCTCCTCCTCTCTTCCCTTTTATGGAATTGTCTGGGCTGGACGGAACCTGTGACACGGTCAAAATGGCGGTGGTGGCCACCTCCCATTATAGACAAAAAACGTGTTATTGGAGTCTATCGAATCCGTTTGTCCAGTATGTACAGTCTATGGTCTGAACCCTATGTCGGAGTCCTGCACACATTTTAAAGCCATGATATGAAATTTTTTCATATTTTTAATTTAAATTTTCTTGAGCCAGTATGTGCTAAAATGACCGTTAACAGCAGTGGTATGAAGTTCCCAGCCTGGAGGGCCGGTATCACGCACATTTTAGTTTCAACTGTTTCAACACACCTGATTTCAACCAGCAGGTGATTAACTCCTTAGCATTCAAGCATCCCGCCGAGGGACAAATTCCCATTGCGCTGGAAATTTACGGGGTTAAGCTTCTGCAGAGCCTGAACTGCTGCACAGGTGCTTAAACAACTGAATCAAGCATATTGGAGCAGAGAAACCACTAAAATGTGCTGGATACCGGCCCTCCAGGACCGGAATCGAACACTCCTGTTTTAGAAGGTTAATGGACAGCTACCTAGCCCATATCGCACCCCTATGGCCAGAATATTCTACTTTCAACTTCAGACTGGCAGTTCACTCTGTTGGGACTTAAAAAATATTGAGCTGACATACCTGGAGCTGCAGTCTGCTTCCAGCACATTTCCTGCATGTTTTAAATCAGGGATTCCTTGAGTGTGGTGCGCGCGAGCTGCCGCTAGGAGGTGCGCGAGCTGCCGCTAGGGGGTGCGCGAGGTGAAAAGTGTAATGGCTGCGGAGCTCAGAGAAGTCTGTCATATGTCACCATTAGCGTAGCCAGAAACTCATTTGTGGGTGGGCCTAAGAAAAAGTAAGTGGGTACAATAAATGCAATTGAAAACAAGTATATTTTGTGAGTGTGTGTGTGTGTCCTCCGCATGTGCCCTAGCTTCATAATAACAATGCGCTCCGAGCTTCAGTACTCTGGCCTGCGCACGCTGTCAATAGCAAGATATGTTCCGTATTTGATCATTTTTAACGGTGTTGGAGGAATCTGAAGGTGGTGAGTCATTCTGGCAGATTGTAATTAACACCTGTCTCATGCAGGTGTTCTGACATTGTAAACCTCACACACAGAACATTGTGGATGTAACTAAATAAATCAAGAAATGATTCCCATCTGAGCATTTTAGCATTATTATATTATTATATTAGCACACTGACTGTGGGACAGCATTCTAAACGTGTCAGGCTATTAACAGCACGCTGAAGATCTGAAGTTCAGAGTGCGTCTGTCAGAGTTCAGACGCGTTCCAGCGGAACCACGGCTCACGGGTGCACAAGTGAGCATATCTGGGCTGGGCAGAAGTAATTTTACAACATTGGTTTAAATAGCACCAATAACGAGACGCGGTGACTGGAGCGGCTCATGGAGCTGTGCCGCGCGCGCACACACACACACACACACACACTGATTCAACAAGCGCACGCTGCGCTGTGCCGTCAGACTGATGGCAGAAATGAGCGCTGACTCCTCCGTGATAAAAACTTTTAAGAGGTTTTATAACATTTTTCATTCAAGGTCAAATTAAGATATTAGCTTCTATTTTGGGATGACGTATAAAAGTCGGGTCCGCTCCAGCCAGTGACTCCTCATGAACCTGACTACAACTCCTGTTACTGCAGCATTTGTTATTCCAGTCCGCGTGGCAGCGGATCGCAGATTCAGCCACACCATAAAACAGCAATAAGTCGGTCTGAGGCAAAAGTGAACCTCATGTCTATATCTTTTCCATCTTTTCCCCTATAGACATTTGATTACGCACAAGTAGGTGATCAGCTCAGGTTTACGTAGAGCAGAAGGAAGGAGAGAGCTCTGGTTAAACGTTCCTGCTTTAAGAAAACCGTTAAATTGCATTGTTTATGTGCTACTTGGGCACTCTAAATATTTATTTAAAATTAAATAAAAGGAATTTGTAATGGTATCGAATGTTTACTAATGACTATTTAAAAAATACCTAATACATAAACATAAAAATGAAAGTGATGGGGAAAAAGGTCGATCATATTCTTTTAACCCTGTCTGTCGAGTGACTGTTTAGCGTGACGTCTGATATAAATATTTATATATATATATATATATATATATATATATATATATATATATATATATATATATATATATATATATATATATATATATATATATATAAAATATCTGAGACTGCACCCACAGACTCATCGACTCCTGAGAATAACGGGTGGTCAGAAGACCTCTCTGGACGCCCAGAGCTGATTATAGAAGGAATGTTACTCAAGTCCGTCTGTGGAAAAACAACAACCTTTTTTTTTAGAGAGTGACAGAACCTACACTGTAGAAATCAAAGTCCCGACATTGCTTGCAGGACCTCACATGTCAGAGATTTAGACAGAGATCCTCTTATGATGAAAAGTGATGGAATTGCATCCATTTGGTCCAACCTTGAAGATGTTAAACAACTAGCACTCACACCATCTGTTGTGCATGGCTTTCAGCTGCTAATGTAAATATTTAGCTCTATGGTAGTCACTGTTTGAGGAACTTTTGCGCAGTACGAATGTCACATATCACCATAAATTAAATTAAGCATTTTTAATTAAACAAAACCACGTTTTTGAAGCCCATAGGGAACAGGAAAAACGGGCTCACTGGTTTTTATTCCCCTTTATGTCTCATTTGAATATTCGGTGTGTGTTTCGGTGCATAGAGGTTTGTTTATACACTGGATGTAATCATTCAGCTGCATTTATCTGGCAACACATAATTTGTTTCCGTGTTTTGTGATTTATTACATTCACCAACATGTCTAAAAATAATTTAAAAGTGAGAGATAAAAGCACCCCTTTGCAGAAACCCCTTCCGTGTTCTCTCGCCATCTGGTGGTGATTCAGTATCATTACAGCAACAATAAAAAAAACTGTGGTTGTA